CAGCGGCGTGGCCAGCGCGGTGGACTCGGATGGAAGGCGCCTGACGCGTAGCACTGGTTTCTGATTGGTCAATAAAGCCTGTTCTGTTGTACCGGTCTTTTACCTATTAGGGCTCGGGTATTCTACGGTGGCGTCGGATTTGGGCGCAGACATGTTGGACCGCCTGGCCTCAGCCAATCCCGTGTCTCTCTGCGATCCAATGGCATGCGGGAAAGGAAGGCAGCCAACCAGAGAAGGACATGACTGAGGAGCAGTATTTAATGAGCGGCGTGGCCAGCCCGGTGGACTCGGATGGAAGGCGCCTGACGTGTGGCTCTGGCTTGTGATTGGTCAATAAAGCCTGTTCTGTTGTACTAGTCTTCTTCCTACTAGGACTGGGGTATTCTACATTGCGTCCATTGGGGAGCAGGCACATTGTGCTGCAAAAGTACACCCATTCATTTGTCTTGGTATTTCTGAATGGCCTAATAGGAAAATCAGCAATACACCATAGATAAGGGTGGATGAGAAACGCTCTGAAATAGGCTTCACAGATAGCGCAAAGGTCTTGGATAAACAGCATGTTACTGTTAGAGCATTAACTGATTCACACCCATTACCTCAATTGCAGGCCCTGGTATGTTGACTTGAATCACGCCAGCGAGACTGGGTCAAATCCAATTCGATTTCTCTTGTCTCATTTTTGCGAAAATAAAAAGGCCAGTTAAGGACAAGGCAAAATCGTTTCATTGTTTTAAAGTTTGTGTTTTTGTTAATTTATACAGCTGAGCGGAGTAGTAAAAAAAGACTTCCGAATGGCCGAGTGGATAAAGGAGGAAGTGGTGGTACGTGTACCGGGGTACATTAGCTGGAGTTTGTATATTTTTTGTTCACTTAGGCCATATCATTCAGCAAACTCTACCTTCGATACGCGCAGACTGCTCTTCAAAACTTCAATGGGCCATTGAATAAACGATTGTCTCTCTCTTCTCACTTCTTCCCTTGGTACTTCGTGTTGTATTGGGCCACAAAAAGCGTCCCATTTTGCGCCTTCAGCACATTCTCATAACCTAGAAGAGAAGCGTACTCTGCATATTTTCATATTCCCTCTTATTAACTACTGAGTAAGATGGACGGTAACCTCCGCTAGTACAAAAATGTCAAGATATTTCACGAGAGAACCCCACCATGAGAATTTCTATGCGCATCCACGCGAAAATGTTATAAAAGTCTACTTTTTAGTATAGAATACTTTGATAGTACAATGGTAAACGTCAATCCTTTATAGTTTGCCTGAAAAAGCTTATGGCGGCGCTTAATTCTGAAGTGCAATTATCGGCTTCAGCTTCGTAAAAATGTACTTTCAATACGCTAGGGGTTTTTTCCAGGTTACTTCAAAGGATTTTAAAACAAGGCTTTGCGGACTCTTGCCCTCTGTGAATTGTTCAAATTTGAATTACAGGACTGTTTCAAAACCTAACCTAAGTTAAAAAACAAAAATATTTTTTTACAGCAAAAAGTTATGGTTCGACAAGGACCAGCATTAGCGGCGCCTCACTATCTCAATCATCTCTTGCCAAAAACTTGTCGAGACAGCGTCTAGGCAGTGACACACTTTCTCGGTTACGTTGCTTAAACAAATTGAACATCAACGCTTCGAGTACTCGTCAGGTCCACATTGCCAGTTAGCAGACAAACAGCGACCCAGCTACGAACCCTTGAGTCTCAAATGACTCAATCACTTCGATTATCACCAGGCAACAATCGTTCACACAGACCCGTCCATTCCTTTAGTTGGGCATCAGTAAGCCTACTGAGAACAAACTAGCTGTTCTTGAGTTAGACCATTTGGTTCCCGTTTAACTCCTGACGAATTTATTTTCCTCCACTGATTTAACTGTGGTCACGCGTCACGTCGATAAACTCCTACATGGTCAGACAACAAAGTTGCTATAGCGGAACAAACCTCGACACTTCTCTTCACTCAAATCGTTTTTATTTCTTCAGGGAATAAGACTCAATAACTCGGAGGTCTTAGGATGGGACATGAACGCACATCAGAACCCCAAATGTGTGGCAAGTACAATCTTTGTTTGATTTATTTCCGTAACCTCTCGTGCTTGGTTACGTCGGGAAGTAGTTTCTGTGAAAAATTTTGGTTTTGTTTCTACAATACGAAACCTCAAACAAAGTGGCTGTTGTGAGTCCCAGCACGTGGTCTTGAACCACGCCGGGGCCACCGAGTTTGATCCTATCCGACTACGCTTCCCTGCTACCCACGATGAAAAAGAAGACAGAAGAGGACCTGGACACAATCGTTTGCTTCCGAGCTCAACCACGCTGGTGTCGTTGTGTCGTGTGTGGCGTTTGCGTGTGTGTACTTATACCTCATAAGTGCGAGTCATGGGTAAGCCAACATCGCGACCTAGGTGCGAGGATAGCCCAGGATAATCGTTGGCGTAAATGAGGGGGCTAGCGACATGCCTCGTAGAGGGAACCCAGTGTCAGAGGCTGGAGTGACCTAAGTAACGAGTGTGATACAACGCGATTCACAACACGTCTCAGACAATTCGTCAAAGAATTTTACTGAAAGTCATACTGTTATAAAAAGCTAAGATCCATGGTTAACCACGGCTAAAAACACTTCTTCACAGTGTCTTGTGGGAACAAAAGTGACGTCCTGCATCAAATAATCCAGTTTTCGTGCTTAAAACTCCAAAGCCTCTGAACCCACATACTGCTAAATGAACTCAATGATGACGTTTAACAACCACGCATTTTGTGTTTCGGGAAAGACCACGTGAGCAGAACCACGTGTGGAAGGAATGCGGAAAACCAGGCAACACAAACTGTAGATTTACAAAAAAACTGCACACAGCATTAATTCCTACAGAGTCAACTATGCGACGAGATACTAAGTATCTGAATGATGGGGAAACCGCTTTAATTAATAGTTACTCTTTTTACACTACAAGAGTATTGTGTGTAATCCTATGAATGTATCTTCTAAGGGACAGTAGCCATGGGGTTAATTTGGCTTAGTATTGCCGTGTGCAATGAGTTGATTTGAATATCAAAATTGTCGCCTGTCGACAGTGAAGTTGATTTTGTATTGAGCGAATCTAGTGCCATGAATGTTGCCGTCTAACAGCAAAGCTACCTACCCCAGCGATCCCAGTTCTAGTACAAGAGAAATATCCTTTAGGTTTTCGGTTTAAGTAGGAATTAAGCTAGTTCTATGGAATATGTAAGTTATTACATATGAAAGACATTAACATTATGCCTGAATTCACAGTTAACTGTTTAACAAAGATTGGGCTAATTTTGCTAATTTTTCGCCTTGTAACGTCTGCCATGCCTAAAACAATGGACCACATCAGATCAAATGTCAAAGAATTTGAAAGAGGTTAAATTAGGCTCGGGTCTTCTTATCTCGGTCAGTTTCATCAGCTTCATCGCAGTAGTTTAATCCAACCAGACTCACACAACGCTTCTTCACGTGGTCAGAGAATCACAAAAAGCATAGGCAATAGCCTTTTAAACAAATTATTTGAATGACATCCGTCTTGATAAATAAGTAGTTAGAAAGAGCCGACCTGTGTTCTCACATTCTAAACCCATTACCAAGACCTTGCTATGTAAAAGGCAATAAAATTACTTGGCTTACATGACGATTTGCCAAAACGTTATTTGAACGTAAGTTCAAATTGAACAAAAATGCCTTTTTTAGCAGATGCAATAAAAAAGGGTGCTAGGATTCGTCTCAGCCCATAGTAAAATCTACTTGACCTGGAAATCTCATTGACACATGATAGGGATGTCCTTCACAATCACCATAATAAGAAATTTTTATGTTGTTATTTAAGATATCGGAATCCTTAACTTCAATACAGACATGCCTTGTGTAATCAACTATGTAA